GGGTATGCTAGAAATAAGATAACTCATCCTATTTCTAGCATGACCCTTGGGATGCCTTGGGAAGGCGGGTATAAATACGAACACACCAAAACAATTTGTAATCAGAGTTATGCGGCAAGTTCTGACTAGAACGGGGTTGAACAGGCCGTTTCCCGACCGGCCAAAAGGGAATGTTGCCCCTTACAGTAATCCTCCACAATCCAAAGCCAAGAGACCATATCTTGCCCCTTATAACCCGTGAAGACTGGAGGCTCCCTGGGTTTAATAATATGCACAGAGAAAGGGCTGGAAGATGGGTTTGGCACTACCATCAGAGACTGTAAAAATGCCCATGGCTTATCTGGTAATGGTGGGGCATTAAGAGACTCGGCAAACTGCTGTTGTGCATGCTAAAGCCTGGCACTCAATCTACTAGTCAAATCTGAGATAGGGGGCGTCAGTCCTGATTACACATATAATATCCCTGCCTGGCCATATGACTAGAGTCGTGAGGCTTGCAACTCTCTGACTCCAGTATTTGAATCCTAGTGCACACCGCCCGCAGCTTTTGTGCATTGCGCTCAGCTATCTTGATAGCTTCCTTTAAAACCCGGTATCCAACCCACCCACGAATAAGAGCAGATCCGCTTAACTGGTACATATGCCTCCATGGTCTACTGAATAGCAACCGCTCTATGATCCACTAAGTTGTCGATCTCCTCTGGGCCAGATAAGGGGCCAAGAGGTCTCCCACCCAGCCGCATAAGGAGCTGGCCAATGAAGGCCTCCCAATCTATATCCCACCAATTAAGGATCTGCTGCACTGCAACACAGCGTGGTCCTAGAGAAAGTCGAGTGACCAGTAGAATATAGTTAGAACCAACCTCCAAGTTCTCTATGACTCGCAAAAAACAACTTTAGACACAACAGCAGGGCTACCAGTAGTGATGTCAATCCAGAAAACCTGCCCTTTGTCCCCCTGAAAAGTGGGGGGCGAATCACTGTTGTTCAGAAGAATCAAATTCTCCTCCAATAAAACATTTTCCACAAGTTCGCCAATTGCATCAAGCGGAATGCTTCTAGACCCCCACAATGGTGAGTGGTTATTGCAATCGGCGCACAATAAAATGCCGTGTGCTCGTTCTCAAGCAATCCTAAGGGATTGGGATAGCTCAAGATGACCCTCTCTAGTGGAATATTGGAGATAGGCCGATAAAATTGAGCATGAAAAACCCAGAACTCAAACTACCACACCACACACTCGCTTGCACCCCAACTCTAATAGAATGAAGCGAATAGATTCCTTGACAGTGATGGCCACTTGGGGTGAGAATCCCCTTCCAAAAAGAAAGGCAAATCCCTCCCACTTGCCTCTAGGTAATTTGGCCTCCATTGGGGGGTCCTGTACCATGACAAAATCCACCCCTTGCTCCCTCACTGCTTGCTCCAGTAGCCTCTAGATTGGTGGTGAGTTGCATGCAATGAGTTATAGTACTTTCATTATGGTGCGTGGGGCCCACCCTCCGTGGGTGGACCGGACTCGGTGGTGCGGTGGTGGGCCTCAAATACAGGCCCATCTGTGTGGTTGGTGGTTCCCGGGGCTTGATGGTACTGGTTGTTGTGGCTCCTCATGGCCCTACAGCGCTTGCGGTAAAACTGCGCGGGTATGTACTCCTTGACTCGGTATCCAAAAAAATCAAACATTATTTCTCCAAGCCGAATGAAGAATTGCGCTAGGTTGGGCAAGAGGTAAATGCGATAGGCTCACGTCACCCACGATTTTGCCACCTCTTGCCCCTCTCCGCCTGTTGCCGGCCCCCTGCAAGGTGCACGAGCCAACAACCGGTGCACCCAAAGTACCTTCAGTCGGGCAGCATCCTCCAGACATAGCAGCCATGCAGAGCCATGTGCCAGTGCCGTGGCGACTGCCTCATCCGAGGCATGTTGATCGATGCTGTACACCACCACCAAAGTGGTGGAGGGGGAGTGCATTGGCTCCGAAATCCACTTGCCCTCGATGCTAGGCATGGGGAATGCCCGGAAAGGGATGTACTTTAAGGCGGCGGTGGTTAGTTGGACCTTCCAGCCATTGGTAAGAGTTCGATCAACACGCTCCCCCATGGAATGGGGGAGGCGCTCCGTTAGCTTGGGGATGCCACAGAAATTCTCCATGAAGTACTCACAAAAATGATAGGGAACAAAGGGCTTCTTGGTTGCATCAGGGTTGGTGGGCTTGAGGAAGATTGTGCAATCCGTGGCCCACTCAAGACGTAGCGGCCTGGGTGCCAAAATAGAGCTGGATTGGGCCTCCACGTCGCTCCACCAGCGCCCCCCCAGTGGGGCGCAGAATGGCGCCCGAGGGGCTCGATTTTGTGGGCGAATGGGTGGCGCCACATGAGGCCTCAGCAGCGCTCAAGGCACTGTATAGCTTCTCGGTCTTCATTCCCATCATAAAAGCCTCTAGGATACTCAAAGCGTCCTCCGTACGGTTGGCCAAGTTCAAATAAATCTAGCTTCTCACAACTCTTTTACAAAGGGGTCGATTAGCTGAGAAGATACATTGGTTGGCACTGGTCTAACTCCTGAAATGCTTGAGCTTGCAAATTAGATTTGGACAATTGTGTTTCTTTTATAACTCAAGATCAATTGGAAGTTTATTATAGCTCAAGTAATGTAAGGGGCGTGACCCCTTTTTGGCCAGACAGGAGTTGGCCCGTTTTCTCCGTTCGAGTCGGGGAATAGTCGGATAGAATTTAGGCACCAACATTGATTACAAACTAGTTTGGTGTGTTCGTATTTATACCTGCCTTCCCAAGGCATCCCAAGGGTCATGCCAAAAAAGGGTAAGTCACCCTGATTCTGGCAGACCTGCCATGTTCGTAATTTGAACATCCCCGTTCCTTGTCCTTCCGCCCTACCGGCCCACTGGTTCCTGAGTTGTGCTTTTCCCATACTGACCAATACGGCATCTCTCCCTTTGTCTATTTTATGCACACCCAGTCCAGCCGCCCTTAGTAAGCCCTATTATACAGCGTTTCCAAGGAGTTCTTATTATACAATATCCTGCATCTACAATATACGACACCCCATGACCCTAATGTACAATGTTCCGGGCCCAGCCCTTACAAATAATTTTATCTTAAAAGGGTCACTTTTATTGTCTATCATGCTACAATGGAACTATGTTTATTTGGGATAGGTTACATGAGCTATGATAGGGAGAATGTAGTTAGCATTGATTGAGACTTAGATCAACCTTTTGTTGTGAATGTATTCATATATATTTATAATTATATAATTATGCAAGAATGCCAACATGTAATAATATTAGATATAGAGTGTGAGTTGGTTGCATTATGAGCTAGTTGTCTATATTGTTTTGGTGATGCTAGATGGGCGATTTACTAGGGGAATGTAATCTCTTTACTTGCTTATTGCTAGAGTCTCCTCCCAGTTTAAGGAGATTTTGTCTATTCTCTGAGTTTTGTATAAAAACACTACCATTAATGAATTGAATCAATGGCACGCATGGAGATTCCACTTTAATTTGCATTGGTTGAGAAAAAGAGAGGCGTAAATGAGGTGTGATGTGGAGATATATAGATGATGAGTTTCGCATCTTCATTTTGATGTACGACGGAGGTGACTTTGATACTAAGGTAATCTGGGCATTTGGATAATATTTGTTGATTGTTTCTTTGATTTTAGGAACTTTTTATAGTAGATCATGACTGTAGAAAATTAGCAATCTTGGATCAGAAAAGATAGGGTGATCAAGTATTGGTGTCACTGGGAAGATACCGGACCAGTCGTATCATGTCATATTGTACCATTTATCAAGATAGATACAACTTGTAATAAAATCTTGTGTCGTGGTGACAATCATGTGTGGCATATCGATCTAGGGCCTAGAACTATAGGTAGTAGTTGCACTAGTGGGCCGGCTATATTATAGTCAATATTGGTGTTGGAGGGCCTTAGTCATTTTGTTGTTAGGTATTTTATTATTTTTTCTTTTTTTACCTTTGTTTTTTATATTTGAAGATGGTTGTTACCTCATAGAGGGTAGTACTATTATGACTTTTAGATGTTGTTTGTATTTCCCAGGTCATGGTGGGTTGTTGAGGTATAAATATCTAGGTTAAAGTGGGCTAGTAAGCTTTTTCATGGATACTTAGGGATATTGAGACATTCTTGATTATTTGGATGTTTGGCAATTTATATTACCTTGGGGGTATTCTCAGCATACTCGGGTTATTAAGATTTGATTCATGTGTTTTCTTAGCGAGCAAATGGGCCCACCAAACAAATGGAACAATTAATCAATTTGGAATTGACATAATATTATATTGTTTGTGCATAATTCGTTCCTTGGAGCAACCCCACCTCGCTTACCCGCCTTACAGATCCTTTGCATACCCCATGGTACCACCTCCTCGGGTACCCACATGGTTGTGCAATAGATAGCAATTTGCACCAGATGTCACAACAAAACAATACGGGTGAATAAATTGTTGTACATGACTGCTGATTTGCAAACTACTTTAGTGTTGCAATTTGCAATACAAACTCTATTATATTTAGAATAATAATGCATGACTTGCTGATGCAACATACACCGCATATTTAATATCGTCACCCCTACTAACTGTGCAACAATGCGTATGCGTGTATGCACAACAAAGCCATTGGAACCAGATGGCCACTAAATTTAAATGGCTCTAACAAGGCTCAAGCTTCTGTGTATGTGCAGCTTATCACCAATTAGTGGCCCTATAGCTAGCATCAGCCATCATCCCTGTGCCGGCCTAAGCATCAAATTCGTCATCTTGTGCATCTGCAATTCCCATCAAATAGAATTCCGTGATGTCCAACCTGAACACCAGAAACCTCAAATCTGCCTGCGCATGAACTGGCAACTCCTTGGTGAATTCAGATACTAGCACCTCGTATTCTTGTGACACCCCTTCCATGACCTGCCTAACATCGTCAAAATCCCTTTGGCATATGTCTTTGGTCACCCGCCCCTCCTCCTTCCCCATCCCCCACCCACCCCTCTCTATTCGCCAATCCATGTTACCTTGCCGCACCCGGATTGCATGAGCCACTGCATCAACGTTGCCAGTCAACCTGCATCCGCAATGCAAAGCATAATGCCATAAATTCTTGTTGTTATTGAATTACTAATCATTAAGTGGGTTGCAAGCCTTTTATATTATTGTGGAAGATTGCAGATAATACATATTTTATTTGACTGAATGGCCAATCAAAGAAAAGTTCAATGTTTGTACACACACAATGGTCTATATTCAATTGGAAGTAGAGGTGAGCATTGGCTACCCGCTACCATCTATTAATTACCATACCGTATTTTCAATTATTTTTGCCATAGTATATATTAAAGATAGAGAACTTGCCATATTATACAGTAATATGTGGGTGGGTGGGGTGGGGGGAGGGGGGGTGGGGGGTGGGGGGGGCGTATCATGCATATCATTGTGGCCCTACAGAGTACCACTACGACCACGCAAGAGGAATAGCAGCAGTAGCGCGGCGAGCAGTGCAGTGGTGGTGGAGGGCCACAAAAGGTGGGTTAATTGGCGCCTCACGGGTGCCCATTCCTGCCACCCGTAGTGACCAATCGTGGGCCACGCAAGTGGCAAGAATGTGCACCTACAAGGTGCTATTTTGCTAAGAACCTGGCGTGCCATAGGTGCCCATTCCTGCCACCTGTGTGGGCCACGATTGGGCACCATGGGTGGCCAGAGTGGGCACCAAAGAAGTGCTATTTTTGCCAAGAAAGTGACACCTTGTGGGCACCCACTCCTACCACCCACGGTGACCAATTGAGGGCCGAGCAGGTGGCGAGAGTGGGTGCTTACGAGGCACTTATTCCCACCACTAGTATAGGCCTTGATTGGGGCCTGTGGGTGGTGGGAGTGGGCACTTGTGAAGTGTTGTTTCTTTGTCAAGAAAATGGCGCCTTGCGGGCACCCGCTCCCGCCACCAGTGGCAACCAATCCAGGGCCATGTGGGTGGTGGGAGCGGGCGCCTATGAGGCGCCATTTTTCTAAGAATATGGTGCGTCATAGGCACCCATTCATGCCACCCATGTGGGCCTCGATTGGCCCTCATGGGTGGCAGAAGTGGGCGCCTACGAGGTGTTATATTTTGTCAAGAAAATGGCACCTTATGGGCGCCCACTCCCACCACCTGTGGGGGCCAATCGAGGCCCACACGGGTGGTAGAGCGGGCACCAATAAATCACCGTTTGTTTGGTAGCTATGCCCACCCAGGTCGCCAAACGGCGAGAGAGGGAGCACCGTGGTCGGTGATAGGATGGTCACGAAGAGAGGCTACTTTACCAGATAGTGATGTTTCAATACCGCTCTTATCTGCTCCCCTGGCCTCGGTTACTGCTCTCTTCGCTCCTGCCACTCATCAGAGCCTGATTACCAATCAATCTACTCCCTACCATCATTTGGGCCACTAATTTATGGTTATTTTATAGACGGCAACACAGACCACTAAATAGCGGCTGGCTGGGCTGACCTCTAATTGGAAGCAAAATAATGTGCAATTAGTGGCAGCCCTATGTAGGCTTGAAAATCAACTGTGGCAAGACACGTCAAGGTCGAAGTTGGATTGGTGGTAAAAAGCCAATGGTCAACATCAGTGGAAGGCAATATTCCACCACTACAAATAGAGCTGTGGGATGTGCAACTGGAAAATTTGAGCAGAGAAAGGGACCAAAGACAGTTCCAACTCCAGTAAAAAGCTGCATAACTCTCTTTCTCCTAGAGACATGAACGTTTACATTCATGTCTCTAGGGCAAGATTCAGCCCTAGGCAACTTGCACCAGAGAAAGTTGCAATAATAAATAGTCCGCCGAGTGGACAATTTCTTAACCCAAGACTGAGTATTGTGCCAACAGAAGCCATGGGTCATTGTGGGTACACAAAGGGATACGCACCTCTGAATGGCACCTAGCGCCCTACAAATGCACTTGAAGATCTGCTCCAAAGTCCTGCTTAGCTTGTCCCTGGGATCCGTCAATAGGCACCGTGCCAAGATGTCCCCCAGGTACGCCTCATGCGCCTCAATGAGCTCATCCAAATCACCCGCCACGATGGCTGCCTCTGCGAACTGCCTCCACGCCCCCTCCAGCACCTCAAACGTGACATAATACTGCAGGTTGGTGACGAAGTGGGACATTTTGCTGCGGACCCTGAGGCCCATTACAAGGAGAGCCGCAGCGCGGTCCGCCGCGTGGGGGCCCAGCCAGTTCAGCGTCCGGTTCATGAGCTTCAGGCTGCGCCACACCTCCGACAGGTTGTGCTCCGCGCGCTTGAGCTTCCACAGCAGGCGCGAGACGCGCTGGTAGGCCGCCATGGCGGACGCGTCGATCACCGCGGAAACCGGCATTCCCACGTCGTACTCCAGGGAAAACACGTCCCAGCCAACTTCCAGCCCCACGCCACGATCGTTCCTAACCCGGAGCCGCTCCAAGGCGTCGTCCCCCTCCTCCAACCTCGACGAAGAGGCAGCCGCCGCCACTTTGAGCATCCCGACCAGAGCCACCTCCGAAACATGGCTGGCGTCCTTGTCCAACTCCGGCTTGATCAAGTCCATGAGGGCCAGCACAAAGTCCCCTTGGCCGAGGAGAACGTAGCGCCGGATGGCGCGGCAGTGCCGGTAGAACCCGTACTTCTCGAATATCGTCCGCACGAGGCGGCGGTCCAGGAGCGACGCCGCGCGGTCCACGAACTCACGCATGCACTCCAGTCGCCTTGTCCCCGCGGCCATCCTGGCAAACGAGCGCGCCTCCGTGGCGCGCCGCTGCACCCACTCCCCGTCCCCACAGTGCTCCCTCAAAAAGTTGACACTCTTGCCTGCGCGCAGGATCTTCTTCGCCATCGGCTCGCCTATGAACTCCGGCAGCATCTCGGCGTTGATGCCGTATGCATCCCGCCACGGGTCACCCGGCTGGCCTCGTCCGCCGGCCACGAAGAACTCGCCGTAGGGGTCCACGAACTCCCCCTCGAACATCCACTGCTTGATCATGTCGTAGATCGGCCCGGACAGGCAGTGCAGGATGCGCTTGAGGAAGGTGCGCGACGAAGGGGCGCCGTGCAGCAAGCGCCCGAAAACGGCCCCCGCCAACGCGCCGCCCGACTTGTCCCGCGTCCCGTCCACCACCACGGCCAGCGTGCGCATCCGCCGCGTGGGCTCCGCGAGGCACACGGCCAGGCGCCTGAGGCTCATGCCGCCACCACGCCCCCACGCGCCCGAAGGCCCATCGGACTGGCACGACCTCCGCTTGGCCTCCTCGCGTTCACCCTCCTCCGACGACCCCCCGCTGAGGGCGACGTCCCTGCCCCCCTGGTGTCCCCCCGTCTGCACCTCCAGCACGGCCATCAGCCGGTAGTAGTCTTCCACCTCCTTGCTTAGGGCGTGGCGCAGCGCCTGGCGAACGGAGCCGCCCGGTTGCCCCCCGCCACCCTCCACGAAGGCGCGCACCTTGCGCACACAACACCTTCTATTACTAGAACAACCTTGAGCAGACATCCCCTTCCATCACTGGCAGCGCCTTGCGCCAACAACCCCTTCTACCGCTCTCGCCGATCTTCCGACAAGCGTTCGTCGCGTTGCTTGTGCATGGCCCCTGCATTTGGGGCGGATTGGGCGGGGCTGTTGGGAGATATGAAGGGCATACCTTGCGGAACAGCCACCCCAGCTCGCACAGCCTGAGCGCCAGCGCAGCAGGCGCGGCGTCAATCCCTGCACCTGGGTCGATCACGAAGCCGCCTCCCTGCTGGCTCAGACGGTCGAACTTCACGAACGTCCCGTCGATGCCCTGCACAGCGAAGAGGACGTCGCGCACCAGGGCGCCCTCCCTGGCCTGCCACGTCGGCCCCTCGCACCACTGCAGTTGCAAGGACATCGAGCTCGAGCTCTGCGCGGTCGCCACGGTGCCCGTCGAGGATCCCCGCCCGTTGCCGTAGCACACCGGCTTCTGCAGGGGTCCCACGCCGTCCTGCCACATCCATGACCGCCTCAGGGAAGCGTCGGAGTCCATGGATGGCGCGGTCTCCGCTGCGCGCCGCTTCTGCCTGGCGACGACCTCCAGCAGACACAGCACGGACGCCCTGAGCGGTGGCGGCAACCCCGCTGCCGCCAGCCTTGCGACCAGCTCATTGATGCGGTCGGCCAGATCAGATCGCCCTTGCTCGGCAGCCCAGGACCGGACGGATTCTGCCACGGACGCCTCGTCGCGGATCGGCCCGAGGCCCGTGCCGCTGTCCAGCAGCCTGAGCGACAGGGCCAGAAGGGATCTGCGGCTGCCGACGCCCACGTCTCCGTCCGCGGCAACCACCCGATCGACCAGCCTCTGGACAAGCGTCAGAGAGCCGGGCATGGCACGACGAGAATCTTCGCAAAAAAACCGAGCTGCGAGCCTCGCAACTTTGCGGCTTTCCTTCCGCCTCCGAGGAGGTCCGGCCCCGGCCGAAAGGTGCTGGGAGCTTGCGCGCCGCCGAGGGACCTTCTCGGGGCTGGGCGAGTGCATGTATTCCATCCGAGAGGGCAGCCGCCCAGTTTCTGTCACCACCATGACGCGTTCCGCGGTCGCGCACACAATTCTGGCCAGAAGAAACTCACTGCCTTATTACTGCATACCGAAAATTTTTCGCGGAGAAAAAATTTCACTTATTTCGCGGGTAAAAAAGTTCGCGGAGAGATATTTCGTGCACTCATTAGTAAACGAAAACTTTTCTCCCGTGACCTTTTGTTCCCTACGAAAATTTCTGCCGCACGAACATTTTCGCCGCGGAGCTTTGCAGGTGGGCTCCTGGCGAGCGCCCGCCTTGTCTGTAGCCCGTTCCGAGGCCTAACAAAGTCAGGGTCCCTTGGCGTCCTGGCCGACAAGGAGCGCCTGCCCGAGTGGCCGCCCGCGATGCCCAAGAGGGGCACCCGGATTGGTGCCTCACAGCTGCCCATTCGCGCTGCACGCGGTGGCCTGCATTGGGCCCCGCTGGTGGCCAAAGTGGGTGCCAGCAAGGGGCGAGATGTTGCGGCCCCATCAACAGCCACTAGTTTCTAGAGGCACTGGTGTCGCGCTGCCCTGCACCACGGCCATTGGAGGTTGACCAGCCTCTCCACCTTAGACCGTGGGCATATCCGGGGTAGTTAATTGCTCTGTTACGTGGTGGGCCTGATGCTCGACAGGGAATGGTTCTCGGGGCCTGCTGTCAGTGAGAGGTGGCGGCGCAACAAGGTGGTGGTTTGCTGGCTCGCAGGAGACCAGAGAGTGGGCCAGAATGTTTATACGGATTCACTGCATGCGCACACTTATCGTATGCACAATGCCCGATCGCAGGTCCATTGCGGTCACATCAAGACAAGATAACTCAAGTGCACGTCCAGGCACAATGTCACTATTTCCTGTTCACCCACATCCGACCCGTTTCTCCCTTGGCTTAAGTACTAGCCCTTATCCATCAACAACCCTAAGTACTACAATTTTGCAAGGCCATAACTTTATCAATTCTTAATGGATTTGGGCATTTCAAAAGCCTAGGAGAATCAGGAGCTCCTGAATAAGCCCACCAGAGATTAGTAATTTTGGCTCCAGTAAATGCCAATAACGCCTAGCCCCAAGCAACCATGTCACACAAGATGTACCACAAGATTGGCGCCTCGCAGGTGCATAATCATGCTGCCTGATGTGGGTCCTAGCAAGGACCACGCGGGGGCTGCATGCGAGAGAGCGCAAAACCCAATGAGAGACATTGCAAAGTGTACTCTGTGCACACTTAGCCTGTAAATCAATATACAATCATATATATTGAAATATATAATGTACAAATGTCAATGTCCGACTATTTTAATATAAAACCGGCCAATGCAAGTAGTGCCACCGGCATCAATTCTCCCCCTAAGGCAAAGCGTTTGTCTGCAAACACAAGCACGACACTACCAAAATCAAAGGCAAAATGACAAATGCCAGCATACCAACAATTGCTATTAAGCAAAATATTCAGAGCGTCCCATAATACTCCAAGTGTCCCATATCCTGCTCAAAAACAATTGCACCAAACTCCATGCAGGCCCATCATTAACATCTCATTGATTTCCTTCGATTTTAAGTGTTCTTCTATGCTACTACGTGCTGACACTGTAAATATTCTGAAAGGAGATTTCTGCAATGATTAAAGCTGGACTCAGGCTCCCATGTAGCCTCATGTAGTGGGCAGTCCTTCCAAGCCACAAGTTGATACTTTCTCACTCATGTACTCTTGTGCCTGATAATAGCCTCAACCTTGTACTCAAGGTGCCCCTCTATCTCAAGTAGAGAGGGTGAATCGATATTCTGCTAAAACTCTGAACTCCTCTCAAAAGGCTTCAACTTCTCCACATGGGATGTACAATGCACACGCCATGTTGCCGGCAAGTCAACAATATATGCTACCGGACTAATTACCTTCTCTATTCTGAATGGTCCCACAAATCAACATCGAATCTTGGGGGCGGAATCTGAGCAAAAGCCTGCTGAGGCAAAAAGGATGTTCTGATGACTACTTCATCACCCACTTTGAATTGTACATTCCTTCATTGTTTATTAATTGTCTTGGTCATCTGATCTTGAGCATCCTTGTAATTGGCATTGGCATCACTGAGAATTGTATGCATCCGCTTCAATATGGTCTCAACTGACTCAATGTTTGTTACCTGCTAATGTGAGGTAAACAAACTTGCAGGTACCTCGGGATTTTGACCGCACAAAAGGTAGAATGGACTATATCCTATTGCAAGATTCATGTTGTTGTTCGTAGCAAACTCTGCCAATAGAAGTTGATCAACCCAATGCTCTGGATGTGCCTCAATGTACGAGCAAAGAAAATTCTCTATTGTTTATATTGAAACTTCATTTTGCCCATCAGTTTCTGGATGAAATGCTGTGGATATATTGAGGTGCATCTCAAGCAAATGAAACAACTCCTACCAAAAATTGCTTAAGCACCTTGGGTCACGATCAGAGATAATAATTCTTGGCACTCCAAACTACCTAAAGATGTGCCACAAAAACAACTCAACATAACCTTCTACCATCAACTTCTTTTAGCACAGAATGAATTTCATAAACTTGGTCAAACGATCCACAAATACAGCCATTGCAGTGTAGCCCTTGAACTCAAGTAAGTCTATCACAAGATCGGTAGTCAACTGATCAAATTTCTGTGTAAGCAAAGGGATTGCTTGATGCAAACCTTTCTTAACCCTGTTCTCTAATTTCATTACTTAAGATATAGGGTAGGTTCTCACGTAATGGGCAATATGCTACCTGATACCTTTCCACCAAAACACTCTCTGAATCAGCTCTCGTGTCCACTCTATCCCACAATGTCCAGCAATTTTGGTATCATGATCCTCTACCATAACACGATGCCTCTTTCTGGCTAAAACCACAAGTCGACATGACTATTGGGTAGGTTCAAAATACAAAAGCCTAGTTGAATCCATAATAAAATCATGCACTGTCCTCCCATCTTGCAATAGCTTCAACTTGGACTAGCGATAGGCCTCTCAACCAAAGGGTAAAATTTCAATGCGAGTGATTGTGTTACGCGCACCGGCCTGATGTGGGGGACGCCCTACTACTGGCCCTTGGTGTGGGGGACGCCCTGCCCAAGATAACTATCCTCAACCCATAGTAACCATTCTAAGTTTTAGGATACGGGAGTAGGAGGGGTGGTCCCGCCTAGGTCCCCGTAAGGACCTAGGTGCCCGGCGAGGCGGGTCCGCGGCTCAAAGAGGGCAGGAACCCCACACCCATAGACTTTTCGTATCATTTGGTTTTGGAGCCACCTGAGGGTGGCGACCACGCTTCCGTCTGGGCGGACGCGCAAGCTCGGAGCGGCGGGCTCCCTCCCCGGTCTCCGCAATGGAGGCCGAGGAATCAGAAACATCTGCCTGCAAGGGTACCCCCGATACGTCGGGTGAGATTGGTACACCCCGGGAGGGGACACCGACCTCGGTTGGTGAAGTTCAAGCCCGGGATGGGCAAGGAGGAGTAAAAGTCCGGGAGGACATGGCTGGACCCTCCACAGCCACTTCGCCACCCGTAAGGGAAGATGAACCGATGGGAGAAGCGAGTGCCCCACCGGCGGCGGAGAAGAAGCAAGAGCAAGATCAGGGGACCATGGCGGCGCTGCTGCAGACCCCTGGTATCATGGAGCTCTTGGAACAAGTGGCGGATGCTGCTGCCAAGAAGGCGAGGGAGAAGCGGGACGAAGAGACCGCTAAGAGAATCGCCTCTGAAAATTGCTGTCAACAAGGCCAAGAAAGAAGCTCGGGAAAAAGAGGTGGCCATGAAGAAGGCGAAGCAGCAAAGCCGCGAGGCACAAGAAGCCAAGACCTCTGCCGAAGACCAAGTCAAGGCGTTGAGTGATCGCCTCCTGAAGCAAAAGCAGCGGGCCCAGGAGGCAGAGGAGAAAAGCGCCCAACAGGTGGCGCCAGCCGTGCAGGCCCCTAGTCCGTTGGAGCTGCCCATGCCAACCATTCCAGAAGCCGAGGGCGACTGGAAGGTTGCTGGTAGACAGCGGCCAAAGCGGAAGAGCCCATCGCCAGGTGAGCGGCCAATGGGAAGTGAGAAATCTCCATACAAAAACCGGGAGGCCAAAGCCTCAGGGCGAATTGAGAAAATACAAGGCCGGAAGGTCAAGATCCCAGAGCTGCGGCTCAAATCCCAGGTGCACGTTAGAACACCTAGTGGATCGGACGGGACGGGAGATGAGTCGCTCACAGAAAGCGCTCAAGCGGTATGTGGAAAAAGTCCGCCAAAGCCGGGAGGCCACAACGGGAGCCCCCGGAGGCCTGCGCTGCCGGAATGGGGGCCTGGTGAAAGCTCAAGAGTGCTGGAATTCATTCTAGACACGCGAGATCCGTATAGCCGGCAACCCCTGTGCCGTGCAATGTGGACAAAGTTCCACAGCGATCTCGTCGATGAGCTTGGCGAAGGGTGGCGAATGGCTGCCGACCAGTTTGGAGAAAGGTTAACCACCGCCAGACTGGTACGAATTCAAAGGTGGTATGGTCCTGGAATGGCAGATCAGATTGCCAAAGAGGACCCAAACTAGCCAGAAAAAATGGCCTTTGCATTCCGCCATATCCCAGAACCATGGGATATGAGCGAGGGGAGTCCAGAGAGACCGGACCCCAATGATCTCCATGAACGGTGGGAGGAGATCTCGGAATTGTCGTTCTCATCTTGTGCATCTCCAATGCCGGGGGACATGTCCACCCGCGCACAAGTGCACAGAATGGAGAAAGAGAGATGACGCATTCGTAACCGAGATCGGTTTGCTCGTGCCAAGAAACTAGACGAGCAAAAGGCCAAAAGGGCCAATCAGCGGAGAGAGCTGAAAGCGCTGCGGCGTGAGCGGGATCGTCAATAGAATCCCAAAAAATATGAGCGTAAACAAGCTCACAAACGCCAGCGCAAGGCTGAGATCAAGCGGTTTTTCTCCGCAGGAGGTAGCCAAAAGGCGCAACGCCTAGAGGTTAAGC